ACACACACACACACACACACACACACACACACACACACACCACCAATATCTCCATGTCTTAGTCGCGGGTCTGAATTGTTAGTGTCATATCGCGTGCTTGATGGACACAAAGAGGATCGTAGTCATATGCTCTAGTCTTTTGTTTGTGCTGTTTTTAGTGTCCGTCTGCCTTCTCCGAATAGAAGTTCTGCTTACGTGCTCGAGGCGACACCGAACCACTGTATTTAAATTTCCGGATAAGTTAGTAGTAAGTTTTTAACCGAACTAACGTGTAGAATGCATAATCTACGAATACACAGACAAGCACATTCCACCCATATGAGAGTGGGTATGTATAGCAAGTACAAGTCAGTCCAGGAAAGCAGAGACGAGGAGCTCGTGCCAAAATTGCGTCTTACATTATGTGACCTTAAATCGCTCATAACGCATAATCTATCATCTGTACCCTTATCAGTAACCTGCTTATCAAAGCACACGTCATTCCAGAAACAGAGACAAACGGTTTAACAATTCCGCGACGAAATTGGTCATTTGATAGCTGAGAATAATTTTCCGACCATTAGAGAACTTCATGAGATTCGGAGTTTACAGATTTACACGAGAGGCATTGGCCTAAATTAATCATATGGACAATTTTTATGCAATGTCCTTTCAAATTTAAATATGCTTAGGACTGAAACTTTCGAAAATTTTTTTAAGGAATCTAAACTTTAGAAATTTCCAACGGAAAACATTAAGGTGATAAATGATAACAAAGGTACAAATCTCTCACAGAAAAACTAAACAATTCCGATGGTGTTACACTGCATAATAAAAACGTGTGCTTACTAAGACTTCAGTTTCCCTTAGGAATAGTTCTTTCAAGCGCAGAAGGGGAATTACCATTGCCAATATCCTTCGCGTATAGCCTTCAATGCAAATCTATATGCTATTTTTTACCACGAAATCTACACCTGCGTTATGAAAACTCGTTAATGTGACTCCTTGCAGCATATGTTTGCATGCTTCGGTGAAAAGGACAAGCATTTCTTTGCCCAAGACTTCAACACCGAACACGACATTTATAAGGAAAACTTACTGATATTACAATCCCGTTAGCCTCACTAGCAAGTCCTTTTATTCTATTTCGAGAAGAGGAAGCGACATTGAGTAGGCAATAAAAAGCCTTTATTCCACAATGAAGCCTTGAAAATATTTGGAAATATAAAGTCAAACTAAAGAAATTCACGTAAAAAAAACTATTAGTTTGTTCGGAAAATGATGGCAAGTTCCAACCAGTAGTGGAATTGAAGTGGCATACCATAACTTAAACATCACCTATCCAAGTAAAAGCATTAGCATTCATATATTTTTGCCAACCAGAAATAAGTCTATTTGTATCAGTAGCATATAAATCGCTCAAGAAGTCGAAAAATATCGAAATCGAAATTTATTGAAGTGGTCGTGGTTAAGCGAGAACTCCAGCAAAGATATGGTAGAAAAGGCATAGTTCGTAGCCCAACTCGTTCAACCACTGTAGCACCGCTGGTGCGACGTGTGGTTATGCACGATCGTGAACGATTGATCCCTTTCTGTTCAACAACGAAAACCGCAGCCGTTGAAGTTTCTGGTGTATGCAGCTCACTTACTGGATGTACTTCACTACCGTCTTTCAACTGGATTCAGGAAGCTGTGATAGATTAAGCCAGCAGCAAACCAATGAACCATCAGGATGACTTTTTTTTGGTGTAATTTCAGCTTGGAAAGTACTGCGGAGCGTTATCACCGTCCAACCACTAAACCGATGTTCGCCGGCTGTCACAGAGGATCCAGGCTTCTCAGCGCCCGTCACAGTACAGTCGAAAAGCGGGTCGTTCTGGTTGCGCAAAAGAATCGCAGATAATATTTCAAAACGACGATTTAACCAGCTTCTTCAAATTTCCAATCTTTTTTAGAGGATTCGAAGGCTCAGTATGCACACACCAATTTCCTTTGCAGGTTTCAAACAGTAGTGTGGATGTATCTGCTTTCGCTAAAGCCTTCTATTCGTCGTAGCCAATAGCAGCAGAACGTCTACTACCTTTCTTATCTTCAACGTCGAATTCACAACGGGATTTTCTAAATCAAGGTTCCACTGTGTGTTCGATAGCATTTCCTTCGCTTCACATCTAATTAATGTTTCGAGCCGTTTAGTTTAGTTGCACTACATCCGAGTTTGAATTCGTAGAAGTAGATTTTTCGAAACTGCTATTTTAACATCCGAATGTCAAACCTTTAAAACTTGCCAAGTACAAAATTTATTTTGAAACTCAATTATGCAGAAGCATAAAAGGAGTTTTGCAATGTTATACAATAGTACAGCATCCGAAAAAAAAACTGTAGCTGCAACAAATAGACGAAAAGTGAAACCCCAGATCCAACATTAACTTCTGAACGACCTAACACATTTGATAAACCACTTCTTCAATTTCGCCATAGAAAGGAAGCTGGGTAATTTCACTTCCACGTTCTGTTTCAATAATGCAGTAGGTTTCAAATAAAGCTGTAAACCGACCACCATCTCCTGCTCCTTAGTGAAGTGTTTACTAAGCAAAGTGGTGGTCGACGATATCGCATTCTTGCGACGGATCTCGCAAGAATCGCTACTACTGCTGCTTCTACGTCGTGCACGAGCATATCGTCGAGACTTCTCCGATCTAGTCATTCGTGAATGGAACTGTACTTATACTTATTCTGCAAATATCTGGAATGAGATAAGGCTGGAATGCAGCACTCTCAAGAGACACACGGTCTTCATATTGCTGAACATATACATCAGTAAATATCAGTGTGATATCGTACATGCTGAAGATCCTGATAACAGAAGCAAAAAAGACACATGAACAAAAGTGGTAGAAGTAAAGAGAACCTTGGAACATCACCGATCCAACCAAAGAAACACAAACAAATACAGGTATTGGAATACTTTATTACAATGTAAAATTGCGCAAATATGGAACTGGACACTGAGAACTTAAAAATACGACATACACTGGACAAATCAGATTTCGAAGACAATAAATCAAGGAAAAGAGTTTTTATAGCCATACGAAACTGCTCATATTACCAGTAACTAACCTGTAGCGATACCATAATTTTAAGCTTCGAGCTCTAAATGGTAATGGGACGTATAGCAATAATTTGAACCATTGTAGTACGAAGATTCGTCAGCAACAGTTTCATTGCTTTTGTCCAACGTTCCTCCTTATTTAACAACATTTTCACGGAATACTCCATTGTACCATGAGCTATGCAATCTTTGTTGATACGATGTGGGATTTCAAAGCGAGAGTTCTGCTTCTGAAAATGAATGGTTAACAAAGTTGAAGTTTGACACTATCGATGCAAACTTTTCCTAAAAGCTGTGACGTCTAACCAAGGAAGCTTTTCCTCTTATGACGCATGATCGTCATATGGGCCGTATTGTCGCCGTATTTCCAGTCATAAAACTTTATTGAGCTATATGCACTGTAGTTTGTTTTTCTTTTCATGTAATTTAATTTCGACTATAACTGACCACCTCGGTTATCTCCCCTTGTATTAATTTTAGTGGTGACCTTCTCAGAATGATGTTTAATTCATCGTAGGCTGCAACTTGCAACACCTCCACCATGCAATCACACCGTTGGCAGCCTTTGGAATCCTGGTGTTCCTCGTGACACCCATAACCCATCATAGTGAAAATAACAATCGATTACACTACATAGTGTGAAAACTGGTTTTTGATAAACAGATAATTTTTCGTTAAATGTAGCAACTAGGAACTAAAAAGACATAACTACAATGAGGCTTAGATGTTTGAAAAAACTCCGTGAATTGCACATCATAAGGTTCCAGGAACAGCTTGTACCATATATGTAATAGAATAAGCTGGTAAACTACAAAAATTTCAGTCTGTAAAGCAGAACTTTCTGAGCACAAGTTTCGAAACATTATCGTAAGGATGTGAAAATAAGGATTGAAAACTGTTCTCAGAGATACAGCCGTTGGCCAACATGTATACATTAAAAGATAATATCTTTCGTTTCCAGTTTTACCGCCTGAAAGACACAGGTAAATTAGATGAATAACCAAAGAAAAACGTGAAAGAACTGAAAATGAGAAGTACTAGTCAGTAACTATACGACAAAGAAGAGTCACGAAGTAGGAGCAATTTCTAGCAATTTACTAATTTTTTGTTCACCTGTATTGCCGTACGTAGCACTTCGAAACACTGAAGGTATGCCATAATTCCACTGTCCATATTGTTATTCCCAAACGGTTTCCAGCTACCAGATGCAAACAGCGGATATTTCACTTCCTCAGTCGTTGTTCTACAAATATTTCTGCTAATAATGCCGAACAAAAACTTAGAGTCCAACTTACCGTTTGTATTTGATATACGAATGACTGCCCATTGTAATCAATTTAAAACTGTCTTGTTTCACATTAACACGTTGCATGAGAACCTAAAGAATGGGAACATCTGCACAAAGGTCTACGATAAAATCATCTATTCTATCTGGACAAGCCTGCATAAAGTACCAAAGATTCAATAATAACCAGTGGAAACCACTCCAAATTAGACACTGGGACGAAAAAGATGATTTTAAAAAAGTAAGTAAAAGTAAAAACCGAAAAGAATACTATATAAACAGGTCTACATTCACTATTAATTTAGAGCACTTCAGTAATTGATGTGATGATAACAGTCAAGACCACTTATTTAACTTCGTAAAAGCAAACTGAATTTTCGAATATAAACAAAAGTTTGACCATAATGATGCTGAGATATTTTCAAAGTTCCGGACCACTGGTGTCTGCGGTACGGAACGAACACGTTATTACCCTTTCCGGAGGCTAACGCGTTCACCATCACACTATGTAAGTCATTCGTTTCGCCTTTCTCTTAGTTGTGTTGTTTACCTGTAGGTGCCATCAATAATTACCAGTCGATGGCATTAATACCATAACATACATAGTACCTTGCCATCAAAAAAGCGTAGGCAGTAAACAAAAGCCGTCCATATTGTGATTTACGAACTAAAGTATTAAAAAATTTCATTCTTCGACTCTTTTAAAAATTCAAGCAAGGCAATAATAGCTCTATACCACGTCTACTTTCATAGCAAACTTGTACTGCTATTAAAAAAATGCCCATGAATATAACTTAAAAATCACAATACTAACCTTTTTACAACCACAACGTTGCTGAGATATTTGCAAAACTCTGGACCGCAGGTGTCTATGGTGGGGAACGAACGCGCTATTATCCTTTCCGGGGAGTAACGCGTTCACCACCACACCATGCGGGTCCTTTGTTTCGCACGTCTCTCAGCTATTCAACCCCGCTGACGGGTGATTGCTGTGGCAAAAAGATCGATAGAAATAGCTGAGAGACGTGCGAAACAAAGGACCCGCATGGTGTGGTGGTGAACGCGTTACTCCCCGGAAAGGATAATAGCGCGTTCGTTCCCCACCATAGACACCTGCGGTCCAGAGTTTTGCAAATATCTCAGCAACGTTGTGGTTGTATTTCGCTTAGTAACCTGCCATGAAAATTATAGAAGGCAGAAAACAAAACGTTAAACTAACCTTTTTATTTACTGCTTAATAATTTTCAACGACCGGGTACCGCGTGAAATACAACTAAGATAATACTGAGATATTGGCAAAACCCCGGACCGCAGGTTCCTGCGGTGGGGAACGAACGCACTATTGTCCTTTCTCGGGGAGTAACGCGTTCACCACCATACCATGCGGGTCCTTCATTACCTGATATTATTTCACATGATTCCCTGTCGTTAGAAATTATAGGCAGCAAATAGGTTAAGATTGTGATTTCGACTTCAGCCTCAGCTTAATTAGGTTCGTTGCCGATTTGAGCTCCCTAGATCAGTCCTGTTGATGGCTGATTGCTGATGGCGCCGATCAATAGCTGAGAAACAGACGAAACGAAGTCTGGCAAAAGTCTGCTGTTCCTAGTGCTATTTCAATTTCTTCTTATATTTTATAATGCCTACATCTCTATTATTCAAATAGTTCGTAAACCTGACCAAAAACCACAACCTGACCACAACCAAATAACTCCACATCTCTGTATTTTTAAATTTTGCATACCGATTATAACCATCGTTTATAGTCTAGGCAGCGTAAACCACTGTATCTAAATATTTTTGCGCAACTTCTTTATATTTTTATTCATTTTTTTAAAGATCTTTCTCTAGTTGGATAAGATCCAAACTAATAAAATGACAGTGAAAACAGACAAGCAATATTTCACTAAAGAAGTCCGTTTTCAAGAAGTTTCTACAGCTTAATTTTCCACCAAGTAATAAAGACGGTACATGTAGCGCAGTGGTCAGAGGTGCTCTGCAATACACACTTTTTCGTTGGTAAAACGCTCTTCAGATTTAGTCAAGCCTTCACTTTTTCCGGCTACGCTAACTGATACAAGATCTGCATGAGAGTACGAAAAAATACTGGCTTGGCAAACTGGCAGATCATGGTAAGCCATTTTATGGAGCGGATATCCATTCAGTCATCTCTACGATACATATTGGAATAGAAAGTAACAGCAAGAAGTTGCCAGTTCTCTTAGGTTGGAAAGAACGAGCTAGTAGCAAGTGAGCCTGACATCAATTTCACGACTCTGGAGAGACTGATGCTCTATTGGCAATGAAGGTGGTTAAACCACGGCCTTCCTCGTACTGAACGGCATCACTGTCACTGTGCTACCTCTATTATATATGTACGTATATATAAACATATATATATATATATATATATGTAAACAATACCTTCCTGGGTTAATAAGCTAACACGAGGTTGACAAAAACGCTCATTCGACTAACGTTTCTGTGTTCGTGTTCTTCAGAGACAATGATTTGACCCAATAGTCCATAGTCGTTCGTCCTGGTGTCTTTGCTTTCGTTTAAAGTCGAATTTTCTTCAGTGGAACAATCCTCGAAGGAGGCAACCTTACCCAATACTGCCCTTTTATACAGAACAGCTGTGGTCCCTAATATAGGAAGGTACTCATTATTAATAGCGAGGTTAAATGACGATTGGTTTGAAAAACAGTGATTTACTAATCGCTATGTGCTAGTTAATGCAATAAGGCTGCTGCAGGCTGGATTGGCCGTTGAAAAACAAATCATTATCAACAGAAAATCATTAACAACAACAACGGTCTTTTATAAAAGAGTGCTTACTGGTTAGATTGTCTGATTCCAGTGGTACTCCACTGAAGAAGATTCTACTCGACACGATGACGGAGATATCACGTCAAAAAGACGGACAACTGTTGAGCATAGACTCGCATCACTAGGTCTGAGGAAGACGAAGACGTCGAAACGTTAGCCAAATAAGCCTTTTCATCAACCACGTAACAGCTTAGCAACCCAAGAACGTATTGATTATTAATGCCCAGGTATAATAACAGTCTATTTGGAAAATATACGCATACACTTATATGTGCACATACATATACATATATGCATATATATATATAAGTAGATATGCACTATATATATATATATATATATATATATATATATATATATATGTACAAATCTACTTCACGTTACCCGTGTTCACATCTACTATGCAGATCCCACCATTTCTTGCATTTGATTCATTTCCCCAGATACATCATTCATGAAAGCATTTTGAATGTAAGCTCGCCTGCAGCTTGAGGATTTCCGCTTTCGTTATGAATGCCGTTGAATTTCACCCGAGTTTTATATATATATATTTGTATATACGTGTGTATGTACATATATATATACACACATATACATACATGAATACATACATATGTACATATATATGCATATACATATATGGGGATATACTTCCTGACGAATCAAGAAAAAATAAGTCCAAATAATAACCAAGCAGGCAACAATTACATGATTTAACAAATCAATTTATGCCATAACTAAAAGTCACGAGATGAAGAGATGAAAAGAAAATAAGGTATTGTAAAAGTAAACGTACGTCCAAAAGGAGAACTAGCTGTCCCCATGCTGCGTTTATCTCAGGCCAGTCAACAAGTCGATCTGGTAAACGTCCAAGACGAAAACCGTTTATCTCTCCTATAAACTACACAAAAAAGCAGTATATCAACGACAATCATGTGCACGTTTCACAGAGCTGGGTAGTACACATTGAATATGACGTAGTTTAAACTAGAATACGTATCGTTAAACATTATTCGATGGGAGATACAATTTCACCTTATCTATTTTCACTGCCTCTTTTCAAAAAACCTGTTCTCCCGCAATAGGGATTGAAGAGTGAAGGGATCGAAAGTGGCCACGAATTTCAAAAATGTCAATTAATAGCAATTAAACTCCAATAAAGACGTCGTCATGCAACTAATGACAACGATTAGCAACATTTCTTGGCAATAGAATGAAATTGGAAATAATAACCGATTAATAAGCGGTGGTAATAAATAAAAATTCAATAGAATAGAATAATAAAGAATAAAGAATAAAGAATAAAGCTTTCGGATTTGACCAATCGCTTAATAATGCATCATACATTCCACTCTACTAAACATCGCAGAGGTGAAACAATGTGTAACTGTTTCATACAATGTCTTAAAATGTGGACACCGATAGTAACAACAATAAATAGTCCTAAGATTATTGAAAAAAAAGTGAGATGGCAGCCCTAGAGAACATCAACATCATGTATCCATATATGTATATACATGTATGTACAAGTATATATATACATATATATATATATATATATATATATATATAAACAGGTGGCTCCCGCATACATATCTGTGTGTACGTGTATATATGTACATATGCATAGATAAGTGGTATATATATACATATATATATATATATACATAGATGTAGATGAATAAATTCCCCAGTATTATAGAGGATGCAACGAAGCCTATAGACTAATATAACACTGAACTTCGTGGAGAGAACTATTCATTTTCCCGGAGAAAGCGGCTGGCCAAAAATTACCCTCTAAGTAGAACACCTGTGGAGTGCAGAACATCACAAGCCTAAAAAGAAGGCATTGTTCTCTCGCAAAGTTGTTCTATTCTACAGCAGTACACATTTTTCCTAAGATGTCCATGATTGAGTTTAAGTAAAAATTTCCCACAAATTGAAAACTAAAGCTCAATTTTTAAATTTTTCACGCAAACGCAGCAACTACCTAAATTGCAGACGTAATCAAGTAAACCATTGCGTCTTTCCATACGAAACCTCGCGTACTCAAACACTTCGCTGTTAGAAATAATATTAAGTGAAATAGGCAAAAAAAGCTGTAGGATTCGATAACTACAAGTACAATTTCACAGAATAATAGGGGAAATTCTGGTCAAGTATACTTGTTGCGATCAATATTTATAAGCCAGCTCACATCCCGTGTACCAGTTCAAATCAACTCACGTCAAGCTGTGTTAGTTCAGTGAAACCATCTTTGTAATGATCTATATTTTCTAATGGATTCTACTTCCACTAAATAAGTTAATTATGAGTTAGATGTATTCTGAAAAGACTCAGTGGAAGCTAAAAACATCTGATTTCGAGCAGTATATAAGCAATACCCAGAAGGGATAAACCTTAAATAGCACTGGTGATTTTAAACCCAATTGCAGAAGTCTTTCCTGTTCTCCGCATTTTTAGCACATATCCAAAAAATTCTAAACAGACGAGGAATGTCATCACAATGGTGATAATCGACTAAAAGAGGATTCAAAACCCACTATTTTTGTTTGTTCACCAATTCAACAGAGTTCACGTTAACCTCAAACACAATCTGCATATATTATAATTCTTCGACTCAGCGCTTAAAATCTTCCTTACCTTATGTGTCCTTCCACCAGTCATACTCAATGCATAAGGGTCACGAGGAAGACAGCAAGATTTCCAAGTACTTTAATGTGGAAAGCAAAAAGGAGGAAACAAAGTCCTTCATGACATAAGATCCATTTAAAGAAGAAAAATGAAAGCAAACACTAATTTCTTCATATAAGCACCTCATCAGTCAGCAAAAGCCATGTTCACGGTAGCAGCGAGTTCACACAGCGAATAAAAATAATGTGGAGAATGTCCACACGACCATCCTCATCGAAATATTAGCATATTCGTGATAAAGCTGGTTTCTCGACAACAGTCCATAGCTTCTCGACCAATAGAGTATCTCAGATATTCAGAACTCTATAGATTTAGATTCCGCTTTACCGCACTAGTCATACAAAGAACTTTTACATAGTGTCCTTCTAACTTCAAATGTGTTAAAAACTTAAGTTGTAAGAAATCTCATAACGAAATTTAAACTTTTAAAATTCCGAACGGAACCGTAGCATCTGCAAACACAAATGATACAACCACAATTATTCTGAGATATTTGCAAAACTCTGGGCGGCAGTAAATAAAAGGTTAACAAATGATACATTCAGAAACACCACCGTGTCCTGCTAAACAAGCTTTTCCTTGTTTATTTGCTTTTGGTTTCATAACATGAGTTTCGAAGAAATATAGCACTTGATACATAACACTTAAATGGCCCGTCCTCACTGTTGAGCGGAACACAGCATAATCTCCATTTTTCGGAGATTTGTTGGTTAAGCCACTGTGGTTCCCTGGAATCCCGAGGTCAGTCTGACCAAAGTCTGTCCCACGTCTTTGCCACCACGGGCAGTTGCAGCCCTTGCGCATCAGAGGGAGATTTACCACTATGCGACTTTGGTACCAGACGGTGGTGAATCCTGGTATTGGTTTATCCTTAGCTACGCTTCCTGATGGAAACGCCGGACTCAGCCTGAGAAACCCTGCCAGAGGATGAATCCCGCCGGTGTACATCGCAGCCCCACACCCAGGAACTCCTCCCAGCAACGATAAGGCGGTAGACCGTTAGGAGGAGCAATATAATAACAGAAGTATACGCTATGAGCTCCAAAAGATCACAATGTCGTCGTAGTGGGACAAAAAACCTCCAAACTGCAGTCTAACATTTGCAAATTTCACTAGCTCTCGTTGCAATCAATAAAACTAAGTATGAGCTGAGATATGGTGATTTAAATTTGAAAGCAGCCATAACTTTACATCGTATGACTCCTATAGAGGTCACGTCGTCGCAAATGTGTTAAAATATTTAATGAAGGAAAACTGAAATCCAAACTTAACAAAGAACCTGACCAATAATCCCATCCGAAGGATCGGTCCAAATATGGAAAACTAAATCGAGAGCGTTAGTATTTGCAAGACGTCGGTGCTGCTCTGCTGCGTATCGTAGCTCTGCGTCTGCTATGCGAGTCTTCTCGTCAATAGCAAGGAGTCGTCTAAAGTCCGATAAACACTAATCCTCGCTAGCCACTTATTTTCTCGCTTAAATAAATTAACAGGGCAAAATGAGGTCTAAAACTCACCTATGATTATCTCTGAACTGAAGCCATCTTTTTGCCTCCTCTTCCGTCTTTTTTTCCAAAGACATCCTTTTCTCTACCAACTCTGAATCCAGACGTTCTTCTTCCAGACAGAGCTGGTCAAATTGGGCTTTGAGTGCGCATTCTTCATCCTGAAAAAGCTTGTAGCTTCGGAAAGTTGTTACCATGGGTTAACGCGTGATATTACTTTCGGACAATCTGTGAATGAGGTAAAATGAATTTCCAAATAAAACGAAGAAAAAACAAATCAACTTGTGTAGTCCTGAAGGTTCCATCAAGTTGTGTATGACGTAAACTTCCATGAAGACCCCACTTCGATCGTTAAAAATGTGTGGTACAAATCATTCGTCGATTTAAAACAAATCTATGAACAAGAATTTATACGCGCAGTGATTATCTATACTTGTAAAAAAATAATCGCGTAGGAATGGCACGTATAGCGCAGTGGTTAGACATGTTCTGCAATACACATTGGCCGTTGGTTATATTCCGCGTCCTGGTTCCACCAAGCCTTGATGGCAAACTGGCACCAGATTTATCTGGCAGAATAGCAAAACTGATATAACATATCGATATGCTACCGCAAGTCATTGTAGACCCGATTTGCACTCATTCACCTCCAATAATGCTTAATCAAGTCGAATGTATAGCGCATTCCTCAGGGATGAAACAACACTGAACGCTTGAAACTTTTGGAACTTTTTACTTGTGTGCGAGGTCCCTCTGGATAATTAAAACATTTAGCAAGACAGATTTAAAGGACCCGAATCGAGCTGATTCTTGTTTTCTTCTGAATAGCTTACTAATTTCTAGACAAAAAGTAGACAAGAAACTATAAAAAAGTATGTTTCTAGATTTCTGATGTCTAGACGTAACTGGGACACAACGAAAACCAACTTTTTACGGATGAGTTTCAAATTAAATGGTCTTTAAAAATTTTAAAAATAGGATAAAAACAATGGAAAGAATGCTTTCTACGAACCTTGAGATTCCGAAGTGTCTGTTTATATGACGCAATATCTGAATTGGCATGTTTATCCTTAAGCGAATCAATCAACTGTCTATACACAGCACAGTCATCTTCGAGCAGTTTGAGTTGTTGGTCCATGCCAACTAACAATTCATCAGAACATTCCTGAACATTTCGTAAACAATGATGTTAAACTGCCACGACCGACTTTCTATTAACCTCGGCATTGATCAAGTGATTTTCTTCGCATTTTTGTTGAGCAAACGCGAGGTGTTACTATTCTTTGTTCACGATTAAGCTGACGCTTCGGCGGATTTCGCCTTCTTCAGAGCCTGGAAAGGTCAAGTTGATAGCAACTCACTCGGCCAGACGCCTCCATAACCAAACAAAGAAACTCCAAACCAAGATTTCAATCACCTTGAACACAGCTCTGCACACTCACCGCTCTTTATGAGGTTTCCACTAAGTATGTCACGTAGAGACCAACCGCACAGAAATCACGTGAAAGCATAATGTGCCCCTCACATCAGAAAAGCAGTTTTATATACTGCCCTATATCACGCGTGATAATGAGGCATTCTTCCCTGCGGTTCATTTTCGGATTTCTAGAATTAATCCAAAGTGCCTCGAGAGTTTTTCGCGCCTGTGTTCTTAACTCGCGTGCGAGGATCGTGACACATACTTCGAAGTCGTCCCCGTTATGTCTCTGCGTCCTATGCGTGCCTAGCGGGGTATTTGGTCTATTTTTGCCGGCTAGGTGTTCTTTCATGCGGACACAGAGGGGTCTGCCCGTTTCGCCAATGTATTCGTCACCACACGTCTTACAGGAGATCAGATAAACTATACCCGAGCTCATGCAATCACCGTCTCTACCACTGGGGCAAATTATGCAGTTTTGAGTTGCACATAGACGGTCATATAGGCGGTTACGAACTAGCTGGCGCTTAAGATTACTCGGTGGTATTTCAACAACGTTTACCGAATTCTCTAAGCCCGCCCTTCTTAAGCAGCGTT